TCCAAAATTTCGCTATATTGATGTGTCATTAATATAGGACTTCATTTCAAAGTAATAGGACAATACTGTCGCATTGAAACTAAATAGGTAATATTAACATAAATTAAAGCCATTTTGAGATTATACTCAGTTAGTTGTCATGCGCGAAATATTTATGTATACACTATAAATCGCGTTATCTGAAGTTCAGCAGACTACTATTAAATATGCCTGAAAAAAGTATGCCAAAATTACTCTTCATTTTAAATAAAAATAAACTAGCTATTTTTGATAGTCGTTTTCACAAAGTTACAAATTCATTTAAGGGGCAATAAATACTCTTCTTCATAAAACAACATTCCGGTTGATATCCAAAATGTGCCATTCACGAGGTTTAAAACTATCTATAGTGAAACGAAAACTTTATATTAAAGGTTATACAGCTTCTGCCTACTTGGATGACAAAAATATGAGTGACACTTTTAGCTCTTGCAGGCAATCTCGATCTACGATGTTTATTTAGTGTGTTATGTTATGAAATGTATATTTACAATGAGCAACCCCTAAAGTTTCTTGCTCATTCTTTTCAGGGGAAACTGCCTTACGAATAAAAATAGATTTTAATCAATATGACGATTTCAAGTGCAATTTGCTTACTTTTGAAATAAAGATTATTTGAGTTCGATAATGAGAGATTAGTGTAAACGACAAATAAATGAAAAAAAAAATGCGTTGCCTGGTTTCTTGGGCTTGTATTTGTTTTGATATATTCAGATTTATATTAGAACCTTCATCCCGGGACTCTGAATCTCCAAAATTTTGCAAATCTCGAAGATATTTTGGCATTCTTGAGTCTCGGGAATATCGAAATTAGTGAGTCTAAAGTCACTTAATTAAACTGTATTCATATAAAAATCTAAAAAATCTAAAAAAATCTGAATAATCTACTATCATTGACCTTCTAATAGAGTTCATTTCACATAGCATGATTCCGGTGACGTTTAAGATTCAAAATTTCTAGAGATGTGGTGATGTAAAATCGAATGAAAAAAAAAATCGATTTAAATATCTTATCAAGATGATTTGTAACGAAGAGAGAATCGATTTATAAGAAAATAATTTAAAAATATATAATAAACAAAATAAAAATATTTCAATTATTATGTTATTAAGTTACCAAAAAAACCTCAAGACAAAAATCAATAACAACCAAACAAAAAGTCAACACCAAAGCATAAAATCAATTGCAATAATTAATCGCAAAACTCAAAAGAAAATGATCCGCATACTCATATCCTACGAGATACTCAATAGCCGATTCACTTTATCGATTTTGTGGTGATTATTTCTAAATAAAATATTTCGTTTTACGCGTCAAGTCATGGGGGTAATTTATTTTATGTTTATGATTTTATTGTCTTTTACTTAATTACTGTAATTTTTGTTTTAAAATTACAAGTGCAACAAATATTGTTTTATTTTTGGTACAACATTATGACAAATTTATTAATTCTTTTTGGAACCTGATTGAGAGATTAATTAGAAATAGTAGATGTGCAACGTAAAAATTGGAAAAGTCATAGAGCTCATCATATGTGAAATGGACTATAAACTTAGAGGATGGAAAAGACCATAAATCAACAGTCTCTTTTTATAGTTACATGGACATGTAGGGTGGATGCAGTTTAGTATCTGTGGAAGATCCAGATTCCCTCTATCTGAAACTACATTAAACGCCCGTTGTTTTTTAAGTGGCCACTATAAAAAAAACTCTAATAAATATTGTTTGAATTTATAATTGAACTTTTAGAGCTAGAATAAAATATTACGCCATGACATGAAACCTACTTTGGAAACAGTCTCGTGAGTCTCGTTTTTCCCGTGATTTTGGAGATACCGATGAGAAGTTGATTTTTTTCCCGGTACGCTGAAATGCAGCGTAATTAAAAGTGCTAATCCACCTCTTGTTGTAAAAGTTTCCGAGCTACTAGAGTCGCCTTTTGACATTTATCGTGTTTTAAGTTCGGCAAGATGATAACGTTTCGATATAAGTAATTGTCAGAAAGTTTTTTTTTTTTTCATTTAGTAGCAGAGCTCCTTGTGAAACTGTTCGTCGTCTGCAAAATTTTAAAACCTCATTACTCCGTTTTTGGATGACATCTTTTTTTACTCTTCAAGATCGGGCAATGAAAGTTTAAAAAATAAATTGTAGACTCCTTTTTTTGTCACATAATTATTTCCAGTAATTCTGTTTTTTGTGCCTTTTTCAAAAGTTCACATTAATGGAGGTTACGAGGTTTACGAATTTAGAAGTCATCGTTCAGGGAAGTACTGCCACCTTGCTTATTTCTGCCGCCAATGTGAGAATTTTTGCGTTCCGATTTAAAGTGCCTTTGACCAACACCCATGTTGGTCAAATTACAGGTACATAGGATTTGTCAAGTTATGTCTTAAGGTGACAGGCGCAGGTGGAAGTGTCTCTCAGATCTTTGAGATTGAGAGTCGTATTCTAGAACTCTACCCAATGCTCAAGTCAGGATTTGAGTATGGTTTAAAGCACTCGAAATCATACTCAAGTCCCTGTCATTAGGGTCGTATTTCCAGTGTTTGTGTTTCCAGTGCAATCCTGACTTGAGCATTGAATAGAGTTCTAGAATACGACCCTTAGTTTCGTATTCTAGAACTCTACTCAATGCTCAAGTCAGGACTCGAGTATGATTTCAAGCACTGGAAATACAACCCTAATGGCAAGGACTTGAGTATGATTTCCAGTGCTTGAAATCATACTCAAGTCCTGACTCGAGCATAGAGTAGAGTTCTGGAATACGACCCTTAAAGCTCTGAGTGACACTGCAACTGCTATGGCGTAAGCCTTGTTCGTCCCGTCATTTGGTATCAAAAAAAGATTAAAACTCGTTTTGGAAAAAGTAAGTGCTGTGGTCATAAAAACCGCAAATACGAAAACGATTGCTGTATACATAGTTGGGTAACTATAGATAAAGTTCTCAAGCTATAATTTTTCTATAGAACCAGGCGAGGTTTCGTTTTACCGGTTTTTATTGATCGTAATTACATAATTTTTTAATAATAACTTTAATGGACCAGTGTATCACTTTTATAAATGGTTTTAAGAATAAGATTAGGATTTATTTAGGATTGTAAACAAATTGGAAATGAAAGTTTTGGGCCCTTTACAGGTCTCATTTTTTTATGATACCAAGCGACTGAGCCAACGAGTCGTGGGCCTATTGGTAAGCGACACGCCTGTCCATAACAGTTGCAGTTCCGCTCAGACCATTAAATCGCAAAGATCTGAAGGGCAGAACAGGTGTTCTGCCCGTTACCCTTAGACATAAGTTCACAAGTGTCATGTGCCAGTAATTTTACTAGCACTTCTTCTTACCCTTCAAAACCGGACCGCAGTAATGCTCATATTTCTACTTGGCGCCATCTCATGGTCACGTCTGATTAGATTAGAAAAAATAGGACTGATTAGAAAAAAAAAATTCTAATGTACCTATAGACAATCGCGTAAACTTAGAATTCAAAATCCTAAAATTATTATATTTTAATTAGAACCTACTTATAATTAGAAACTACTTATTATAATAGTAATAGTACTCTACTTCCTGTGTAGGTATTTCTAGAAATTACAAATTTGACCTGATCATTTAGTACCTAGACTTTTTAATGACCTATTAACTTATTCAGTTATATACTTATACTTCTATTCATATAAGTACATAGCACGATGACAGCAATACCGTAACGAGAATTTCGCATTTTCTGTATTTTAAGACTCGTGGTTATTCACTTAAGGACTATTACTAATTGCAGGCTTTTTACCACGCCATGACTTCTTATTATTTTCCCGACATTTCGGAACATATTTATGGGGTGAATAGTCAGCGATCATTTTGTACCCTTGGCATAATAAAGTCACATGTGATCATTACGTAAAGTGCGTATATCACATGAAAGCCATAAAACTAACACGATAACTATATGAAACAAATTAAGTATAGGTATGTAAAAATTTATAACTCTCCTATTTAAACGTAATAAAGTCTAATTTCAATCGTAGGATCTTTGAACGTCCCTCCTGAAATATTGTTTGCCTGCCTTATTACACTAAGGGTGAGATTCGGTGATTAACCACGACAGTTTTAAAATCTATATTGAAGTAGGAAGTGAAGTTAAAAGAATCTTTCGTGTAATTATTTTCATACTTGTTATATGTATTTGTATTCTCCTAACTTATAGCTATAGGTACAAGAAAGTGACAGTCAACTTTTACTTTTTAACACGCGGAACGAGTTCAAACGGAATGCTATTAAAATTAATATGTTTACGAAACACCAGTTTTTAACTTATGAAAAACAAACAGTATACAAGCATGCATTGTTCCATATCTTTAGTCGTCTTTCGTCTCATCATTAATAATTAATAAAAAAATGTGTTATTAGTAGCAGAAGATAAGAAATAGTTATTTATAATTTATATGACAATCGAATAACTTTATTTGCGCTTAAAGTGTTGTATAATTACGTGATTTACGTTGTAACCAAAAAACAAACGTGGAAGAAGTGTTTACGTCTAAACAAAATTATTTTTTTATAATCTATGGTTTTTGTCTATGTGATCTCTGGTTGCTCTCGGAAGTAAAACGTGTGTAAACTAACTTTTGTCGTTATTATTAAAGTTTCTCTGAGTAAAATTGTGTTTATGTCAAGACCAGACCTATTACAGTCCACCAATCGAAGAATAGAACAAGAAGTCTCACTTCTAATGATACTATATACTACGCTGTTAATCCGATAAAATAACAGGTACAACTAATAAAAACGTCCCGCTAATAGTTAAACCAAGTCAACGCCGAAATTAAGCTACTATTAGAATAAACCAAAACGAGAATAATACATGTTTTTATAATTACTTATTTAGATTTTAACAACCAAAGGGAACATTAAATGTCACTTACAGATAATACACATACAAGTAAATTATAGTGTGGCACTCACCAGGGTGATCCAAAGGAGGCACTGCAATGTCCACTCCATCATGTGTTGGGGATAATAATCATGCCTACTCCGGTCACGGTCTCCCTCTTTATTCTACTACATGACTACCAAACGCGACATTAAATGACGTACTAAATAGTTTCAAGAGCACAACAATGTCGATTGTTGTCGATATAAAACGACATGCACTCCGCGGCTGGCAACACGCGACTGCCGGGCTAACCGCTCCGGCAACAGTAGAAGTGACTTGTTTATTAATTATGACTAGTCTTGGAAGACCCCCGTCGCTCTTTGATAAATTCCCTCTTTAATACCATTGCTGTTCGATAAAAAAGAACGGTAGAAGCTCTTTGATTGTGGTGCCACCGCAATGTTAGGTTTTCAACTATACCTGACTTTCAAAAGTTGGAGGTTTTAATAATTAATTTGCTTTTGTTTTTGTCGATATTTTACCATTAACATTACAACATATTTACATCCCTAATTTAAAAAAAATACTAATAAAATTATAACAATCGTTGTGTGCCTAACGTAACGGGAAAACGGTGGTAGCAATAGTTATTTGTCCTAATTAATGTCAAGGTATTTCTCGTTTAAACATTCATTATTACATTTATATGATTAAATTTTAATTGTAATTACTTGTATGTTTTAATGCTATTCTATTGATTTGACTTCAATTGCATGCTACATCAATAATATGCTACAAATGTGTAAAATATTCGCTTTCCAAGTCCTGGTGAAATGTTAAATCTAACCTAATATTAAAATACCTTCATTGTAATTACATTTATAGCGAATAAATATCTTGTAAATAAAGTCTGTTCATATACGCATTCACAACGTCGATGAGTAGCCATATAAATATATACCATGTTTTTCCCAGTTTCATTTTTCCCTATTTAAATTGCCTTTTACGGACGTAACGTTACATTTTAATATTGCTTTAATTTATAATTAGTTCTGAAATTAAAGTTTATAATTAGTTTCTTAATTTTTAGAATACAGAAAATACAGGAAAGTATATATAAAAATAGAAATGGGAAAACAATAAAATTATTTATATAGGTACCTACTAACATTTTCGTTCAATAGTATAATTAATTCGAAAACAACCCCTTTTTCCTTGGCGCTGACGCACATAATTGAAGCGAATTACATTACAAATTTCGAGCTTCTAGTTTCTAAGGATTTCTCACTAACATTAGCTTGTCGCAGTCCACTGCTGGCCATAGACCTCAGCTTGTCGCATCCAATTGCAGCCAGCAACCTTTCCCAGATCGTTACTCCATCTGGCCAGATGGCGGCGTTCGTGCGTCCTAAACTACGATTGCCGGGCCGTGGTCTTCACTTGTTTCCCCCATTGGTTATCAGTTCTTCAACAGATATCTAGCTTCAGTAATTTCGGTTCTGCTTTGAAATGTCACTCTGTATGCATATATACACATACATAAACAAACAGTACTTTTGCTTCTGAATATATACATTTTCCAAATTTTCCGCTGGAAGTGACTTTTATGAGGCGTAACGATGCGTGCTGTATATTTGTAACCCCAGTTGTTATTTGTTTGTGGCGTCTACACCGCACCGTAATTACTCTCCACTACATTACCAAGGTCACGTCAGTCACGTAACGTAGATTAAACGATTAACGTTATACAATATGTATTGAAACATTTAGTAGCAAATAAATTATTCATACATACATCCAAATATGCTTTGTGGATAATGGATTTGGAATGTTATAAGAGTCTTACGCAGCATTTTGAAGAGAAATTTAAATATTAGTAGAATATCTTCATGAAGTGACCTTCTCAACGAGGTGGAATAACCATTCGCGTAATGCTGTTTTATTACATAACATATTAAATTGATTGTACTTAATAGGAATTTGTTATAAGAAAAAACAATATACAAACTCTGTCGTCATTTACACCAGTTTCATTAGGTGCTTAATAATATACCCATTTGGTTTTCTGTACTAAAATTAAGTGTGTATTTTCCTTTCTTTGGCAGACGCACGAAGCATAATTGCTATATTAATATCTATATATATACAGGGTGTCACACGGCTATGCGACACGGAGGGAAAGTACTTTAACCCGTTTATCGGCAGGATATACACAAACCGCACACGAAAATGACTACTCACTACTTTTCTTGCCGTAGTGATTCAATATAAAATGCACATAAAGCATTTGGAAATAGCACTGTAAAGCCCGCAGTTAGTTTTTTGAGATTCTAATCCTCAATTTATATTGCGGCGGAGCCGACAACTTCTGCGAAATGTAGTTTGTACGTTACATAATTGACTATAAAGTTCATAACAACAAGTTTTTGTATATAACAAAAAGTGGCTTCCATTCCATTCCGCTGCAATATAAGTTGAACCTAATAGCAAAACGGGGCACCTTTTACCATGTTCAATTTTATCTATGTCTATGAACGGGCTAAATGAAGGAATAAATTCTTATAATTGGATGCTGATAAGCAATAAAGTATCAATCAACATGATCACAGTTTTGCGAAAATAGTACGTAAAGACTTTTTCGTTGTTTTTGACAGACTGTTATAAAATTTACTTGTAAAATGGAACTTTTACTGTTGTCACCTCTGGAATGATGAATTGGTGTGGTTACTACTGTATTTCCCCAACATCAACAACCACGACAGCAAAACTTTTCATTTTACAAGTAAATTTTGGAACAAATTATCAAAAACAAGGAAAAAAATTTTTAGGTGCCATTTTCGCAAAACTGTGATCATGTTGGTTGACACTAACGCTTATTAGCATCCAATTGAAGTTATTAGCACAAAAATGGTGTAACCCATATTTTTAATTGTTTTTGTACAGAATTACTTTAAATGATACTAAAATACGTAATTGTCATGTCTGTCAATTGTCTTAATAAAGGTAAGCTGATGAACATATGTCACCGACGTCTCACTTTGCAACTTTGCTTTTCGGGATAGTTAAAAATAAAAGTTCTCCGTACCTGTACGATAAACTAGAGTTTGCACAACGTAATGTTAGATTGGCCACTCGTCTGGTTTACCCTAGACATGAAACTGCGGCATTTCGGGGTAGTTTTCGTTATTCTGCTTCGAAATGCAGGAATAATATTCCTCCTTCGTTAAGAAACTGTGCTAGGATTGCCATGTTCAAGCATAATTTTAAATCAAATTTGGTGGAAATCAAAAGAGGTATGACGTGTGGGGTATTTTTAAAAAAAAGGTTTTTTAGTTTTTTTTTTGCGTAGTTTCTTAAGTATATATTGTAGTTTATATTTTTGTGTGTGGCAAAATGTTGTTATAGTTTTTTCAAAATCTATGTATTTTGTAATATGTTATGTTGATGTATTTATATGTTCATGTTTTCAAAATGTATATGTATTGTAGTGGCGTTTGTTCCTTCTGTTTCATGGTGGCCACAGAATATCAGCGCCGCCGGTTTGTTTCCCTGAGCAGCGCACACAGCGGCACATGCTGAGTGGTGACCTTTTTGGTTCTCTGTATATTTAATTTAAGCTTTAATGTTATTTTTCTTTTCTTTTTTGTAACGAGACCAAATAAATATATCTTTTCTTTCTTTCTTTCTTCCTTTCCAATTACTTTAAATTGGGATGCTATTTTCATGCCTAAAAGAAAATTTAATAATTATATATTATTATTATATAGATAATAAGTATATGATTGCTATGTATAAAATGAATTTTGCTAATTTTAAATCCCTCATCTTTTACACGCATTTCATGTGGTCACACCACTTTTGCGCTGATTGCCTTATTGCACCGTTTTGATTGGCATTATAAAAATACAGAGGGTCTACTCCCGTACTCAGTCCGACATCGATTCGAAAAATTACTGTCAAATAAGTTATACTCGATCAAATTAAAACACGTAGATATTATTCGAATGAAGCTTCATACTTGTTATTGTGTTTAGATTTGGTCGAGTATTACTTACTTGACAGTAATTGTTTCGGACATATAACGGTAACAGACCCTCCGTATTTTTATGATGCCAATGGTTTTTTCACATTTGGTCGCTGAGGCAAGCGATGTTTAAAAGGTTTTGAATGCAGTATTACTTTAAAAAAAAAAAAAAAATGTCTCAATGAAGCAAAATATCCTTTCTACAATATTGAAAGTACTTTCACTCCGTATTGCATAGGCGTGGACACGTGTATAAAAGTGGATGTTTGTATGTCTGTCCTGTATGCATTCCATTTTTATTCGTCCGATTGCAATAAAACTTTAGAAAGTTGTAGTGCCCGTGCCTGCAAAAGTTTTAAAGTATTATTCGATTCTACTGCTGGACATGAGTGTCTTCTAGGGTTAAGACCATCTTTTGCAAAGCTAAAAGATAAACAGTTAGCAGCCTTTGTGTAAATAGGTCACATTTGGAAAATGACAAATTTTCAGGAGATATGTTCAAAGATTCTACTAATTCTAATTGATAAGATTTTTACATTTAGGTAGGAGAGTCATATGACGTCACATACATATAAGTACACGAAACATGTCGACGTATGTCTCAGGGTGATGGGCGCAGTGGCAACGCCCCTCAGATATTTGCGATTTAAAACTCTCAGTGGCAGTGCAACTGTTATGGACGGGCGTGTCGCTTACCATCAGGCCCACGACTTGTTTGTCCCGTCACATGGTATCATAAAAAAATAGTAACCCCTACACTAACATGTGTACCTATTTAATAAACTTCTGCATTGAAAATTAAGCCTACGCCATTTAAATGCAAAGTTATAAATTGGCAATTACAAAAAAAAATTAATAATAATTTTACTTTAAAACTTTATAAGTTTTTAGACTTCAGCAAACAATTCTCTACGGCTTTTGAAAATCGTAAATAAATATTTTTTGTTCATATCCAAGACTTTGTTTCCCTAACATATCGTCCGAGTTTCGAGTTCGGGGTCGGCCTGCGGCGCGTGGTCGCTTTCAGATTACGGGGTGTGCTTATGCTCTTAGGTGGCACTATGAGCGCCTGATGAGGAAGTTTCAGATTCTTATTTGAGCTAATTTATGAAAAAAACATTCTTAAGTTGGTCCTGGTCAGAGTATTCTGGGTATTGCCTTCAGAATTATCGTTACTCTGGTATTCATAGTACAGGAAATTCGCTAGTTTGAGACCATAAATTTGAAGTGATTGTCTGGCATTTTTCCCTAAATACTTCTCTTTTTGGCATAGCTTCAAAAAAAAAGA